ACGCTTCTGTCACATACTCTGCTGTTGCAATAAAATTTCACTTTTTAACAAAGCTTGTTTGAGCTCATGTTTTGTAAATGTAAAAAACTATACTTTCTGAAGTGTTCTTGTATGAAGTGGTGAGGGCTGGAGTTTCTTATTCTCTGAAGGCAATGGGGATCTTCCTTTCCACTGAAGAAAAGGCGGTTCTGGACCAGAAAGAAGTCTTCTTTAAGCTTTGGTGGAAGGGGGGCATGTTCAGGAGCTTTTAGTTAGTAATGGCCATTTTTGGGTGAATTAACCTTTTAAAAAGTCATCTTTACATGCTCGATCAGTTTATATGCCTTTATTCAATCCCTTAAAGCCCAGTGTTGGGGGTAACTCATTACAAGTAATGCGAGTTACGTAATCAGATTACTTTTTTCAAGTAACTAGTAAAGTAATGCATTACTTTTTTAATTTACAAGAAAATATCGGAGTTATTATATATTATATTATATATACGCCAGTTACTAGTATTTCCCATTTATTGACTGACAAGTCTCCTGTCCCCATATTGGGAGAAATCGGGAGTACAGAGGCGTTGTGTGCACTGTGTGAACATGATGTTACTGTAGTTCTAGACTAAATGTGAATGTGCATTAATTCATCCCACTCACAAAAAACAGATTTAGTATTCATCAAAATGAATTAAAACAGTGAAATGCAAACTCAGAATATGACGCAAACCTGCAATAATTAAATGTTAAATAACACAAATGTATCTAATCCCATTTTATTAACCGATGTCTTTGCTGCTGACCTTTGATGATCCAGTTCAACCGTACTAATAAGCAAAAATGACTTTAGAGAAACTAACAATTGTGCTTTGTTTTTTTATTGTTTATTTTTTACAACTTTGTTTCTTCTCCTGTGTTCTACTGTACAGACGTGAATTTACTTTTGCTTCAGCCTGAGGTTTATTCATTACACTTTTTGGTGTGAAAGGGCTTTTATATTTGCTATAAATATAACTTCTTATATTAAAAACAATCAAGCCCTGCTTATATTTAAAACGCGAAAGTAACGCAAAAATAATGTAACGTATTACTTTCCATAAAAAGTAACTAAGTAACGTAATTAGTTACTTTTTAGGGAGTAACACAATATTGTAATGCATTACTTTTAAGAGTAACTTTCCCCAACACTGATTCTGACAGACAGACAATAAACAAGTATAGTATAGTATAGTATAGTTTAGTATAGTATAGTATGTTTTACCACTTTTAGAGCTCAGATGCTGTCTCCCTCTGGCGGTGTGGAGGATGGTTAACAGGAACAATTGTGAGACCTCATAATCTATTGATTATATTCCCAACATGAAATTGAAATGAATCATTTAGGCATAGACGCTTAAGGCTTCAATCAGTTGTGGTTTATCAAAAATAAATCCCTGAAGCTTTCAATGCGATGGTGTTAGAGACGCAGTACTGTTTTAAATCCATTAGGTGGTGATGTAGGTCAAATGTAGAGAGGCATATTATAGTGAGCTGCTTATTTTAAGATACATTTTTAGCAGTGCTGGCTCATGCACTTTCCCCAAACACTGCATAGAAGAAGCATTGATTGAGCTAGTCATGACAAAGCATTTGCTAAAATCTGCAATTAATATAATAAAACTATTTTTATTTAATCAAGAGCACGGGTTAAATAGCCATATAAACTAATAGATTTATTATTTTGCAACAGAAGCTCTCAGTTCTATCATCGTCCTCTCTCTCTGTGTGTGTGTATGTCTATCTCTGTCTCTCTCTCTGTGTGTGTGTATGTCTGTCTCTGTCTCTCTCTCTGTGTGTGTATGTCTGTCTCTGTCTCCCTCTCTCTGTGTGTGTGTGTATGTGTGTTTCTCTCACTCTCTCCCTCTCTCTGTGTGTGTGTGTATGTGTGTTTCTCTCACTCTCTCCCTCTCTCTGTGTGTGTGTGTATGTGTGTTTCTCTCACTCTCTCCCTCTCTCTGTGTGTGTGTGTATGTGTGTTTCTCTCACTCTCTCCCTCTCTCTGTGTGTGTGTGTATGTGTGTTTCTCTCACTCTCTCCCTCTCTCTGTGTGTGTGTGTATGTGTGTTTCTCTCACTCTCTCCCTCTCTCTGTGTGTGTGTGTATGTGTGTTTCTCTCACTCTCTCCCTCTCTCTGTGTGTGTGTGTATGTGTGTTTCTCTCACTCTCTCCCTCTCTCTGTGTGTGTGTGTATGTGTGTTTCTCTCACTCTCTCCCTCTCTCTGTGTGTGTGTGTATGTGTGTTTCTCTCACTCTCTCCCTCTCTCTGTGTGTGTGTGTATGTGTGTTTCTCTCACTCTCTCCCTCTCTCTGTGTGTGTGTGTATGTGTGTTTCTCTCACTCTCTCCCTCTCTCTGTGTGTGTGTGTATGTGTGTTTCTCTCACTCTCTCCCTCTCTCTGTGTGTGTGTGTATGTGTGTTTCTCTCACTCTCTCCCTCTCTCTGTGTGTGTGTGTATGTGTGTTTCTCTCACTCTCTCCCTCTCTCTGTGTGTGTGTGTATGTGTGTTTCTCTCACTCTCTCCCTCTCTCTGTGTGTGTGTGTATGTGTGTTTCTCTCACTCTCTCCCTCTCTCTGTGTGTGTGTGTATGTGTGTTTCTCTCACTCTCTCCCTCTCTCTGTGTGTGTGTGTATGTGTGTTTCTCTCACTCTCTCCCTCTCTCTGTGTGTGTGTGTATGTGTGTTTCTCTCACTCTCTCCCTCTCTCTGTGTGTGTGTGTATGTGTGTTTCTCTCACTCTCTCCCTCTCTCTGTGTGTGTGTGTATGTGTGTTTCTCTCACTCTCTCCCTCTCTCTGTGTGTGTGTGTATGTGTGTTTCTCTCACTCTCTCCCTCTCTCTGTGTGTGTGTGTATGTGTGTTTCTCTCACTCTCTCCCTCTCTCTGTGTGTGTGTGTATGTGTGTTTCTCTCACTCTCTCCCTCTCTCTGTGTGTGTGTGTATGTGTGTTTCTCTCACTCTCTCCCTCTCTCTGTGTGTGTGTGTATGTGTGTTTCTCTCACTCTCTCCCTCTCTCTGTGTGTGTGTGTATGTGTGTTTCTCTCACTCTCTCCCTCTCTCTGTGTGTGTGTGTATGTGTGTTTCTCTCACTCTCTCCCTCTCTCTGTGTGTGTGTGTATGTGTGTTTCTCTCACTCTCTCCCTCTCTCTGTGTGTGTGTGTATGTGTGTTTCTCTCACTCTCTCCCTCTCTCTGTGTGTGTGTGTATGTGTGTTTCTCTCACTCTCTCCCTCTCTCTGTGTGTGTGTGTATGTGTGTTTCTCTCACTCTCTCCCTCTCTCTGTGTGTGTGTGTATGTGTGTTTCTCTCACTCTCTCCCTCTCTCTGTGTGTGTGTGTATGTGTGTTTCTCTCACTCTCTCCCTCTCTCTGTGTGTGTGTGTATGTGTGTTTCTCTCACTCTCTCCCTCTCTCTGTGTGTGTGTGTATGTGTGTTTCTCTCACTCTCTCCCTCTCTCTGTGTGTGTGTGTATGTGTGTTTCTCTCACTCTCTCCCTCTCTCTGTGTGTGTGTGTATGTGTGTTTCTCTCACTCTCTCCCTCTCTCTGTGTGTGTGTGTATGTGTGTTTCTCTCACTCTCTCCCTCTCTCTGTGTGTGTGTGTATGTGTGTTTCTCTCACTCTCTCCCTCTCTCTGTGTGTGTGTGTATGTGTGTTTCTCTCACTCTCTCCCTCTCTCTGTGTGTGTGTGTATGTGTGTTTCTCTCACTCTCTCCCTCTCTCTGTGTGTGTGTGTATGTGTGTTTCTCTCACTCTCTCCCTCTCTCTGTGTGTGTGTGTATGTGTGTTTCTCTCACTCTCTCCCTCTCTCTGTGTGTGTGTGTATGTGTGTTTCTCTCACTCTCTCCCTCTCTCTGTGTGTGTGTGTATGTGTGTTTCTCTCACTCTCTCCCTCTCTCTGTGTGTGTGTGTATGTGTGTTTCTCTCACTCTCTCCCTCTCTCTGTGTGTGTGTGTATGTGTGTTTCTCTCACTCTCTCCCTCTCTCTGTGTGTGTGTGTATGTGTGTTTCTCTCACTCTCTCCCTCTCTCTGTGTGTGTGTGTATGTGTGTTTCTCTCACTCTCTCCCTCTCTCTGTGTGTGTGTGTATGTGTGTTTCTCTCACTCTCTCCCTCTCTCTGTGTGTGTGTGTATGTGTGTTTCTCTCACTCTCTCCCTCTCTCTGTGTGTGTGTGTATGTGTGTTTCTCTCACTCTCTCCCTCTCTCTGTGTGTGTGTGTATGTGTGTTTCTCTCACTCTCTCCCTCTCTCTGTGTGTGTGTGTATGTGTGTTTCTCTCACTCTCTCCCTCTCTCTGTGTGTGTGTGTATGTGTGTGTCTGTGTCTCTTTGTGTGCGTGTGTGTGTGTGTGTGTGTCTCTCTCTCTCTATGTGTGTGTGTGTGTGTGTGTATGTCTCTCTCTCTCTCTCTCTGTGTGTGTGTTTGTGTATGTCTGTCTCTGTCTCTCTGTGTGTGTGTGTATGTGTGTCTCTCTCTCTATGTGTGTGTGTGTGTGTCTCTCTCTGTGTGTGTGTGTGTGTGTGTATGTGTGTGTGTCTCTCTCTCTCTGTCTGTGTGTGTGTCTGTGTGTGTGTGTGTGTGTGTGTGTGTGTCTCTGTGTGTGTGTGTGTGTGTCTCTCTCTCTCTGTGTGTGTGTGTGTGTGTGTGTGTGTGTGTGTCTCTCTCTCTCTGTGTGTGTGTCTCTCTGTCTCTCTCTGTGTGTGTGTGTGTCTCTGTCTCTCTCTCAGTGTGTGTGTACTGGTTTATATATCCTGGTGGGGATTTAGACCTGAATACACACAGACTCATGGGGACTCGTGCCACGGTGGGGACCTAAATTGAAGTCCCCACGGGTAAACAAGCTTATAAATCACACAGAATGAAGTTTTTTGCAAATCTAAAAATGCAGAAAGTTTCCTGTAAGGGGTAGGTTTAGTTTAGGGGTAGGGTTGGTGTAGGGTAATAGAATATACGGTCCCCACAAGGATAGCAAACCAGACATGTGCGTGTGTGTGTTTCTATCAGGGTGGATCAATGCAGGAGCCTGAGCTCCACACACACACACACAGTCGCTCTGTCCGCGCATCTGCAGCGTCTCGTCGCTCCGTCTCTCTCCCTCGCTCGCGGCTGACGCGGGCCGCTCCTGGATGTGTGCATGTTATAGTTCGGAAAGCCGCCGCCGCATCGTAGGTCGAAGGCCAGGAGACATGCCGGTGTGACGGGCATCGGATATCCGTATCTTCCGCGCTATCTTCGCTGTGCCGAGCGCCGGTGCTGGAGCTGGAGCGAGCGGCCTGTAAACACAAGATGTCGACCCGAACGCCATTGCCCACCGTTAACGAGCGCGACGCGGAGAATGTAAGTCAAGGATACACCACATTAACATTCACGTTTATCACGCGTTTGCTCTCGTTGCGTTCTTGTGCTTTTGTTGACGCGGACACAAGCTTTTAATGGTTTAACGAGGCGGGTTGGTTGAGCATATAGTCGTTTTGTCTTCTGGGGTTTGATACTGGTGTCCAGTGTTGATTTAAAGCCATTATTAGAGTTATATTTGTTTGTGTAACTGTATAGATTGCGACCGTTCAGGTGCATGTGATGCTTCCCTGTCCTGTGTTAATCAATGCAACACTGATGATCTGATCATCATCATCAGCATATCAGATTGATTTCCCATCATCAGACCCATTGCGAGCTCACGCTTCAGCGTCCCGGCACCAGTTTTCTTACTGTTTACATGTATCTACATTATAATTAGTATGTGACCCTGGACCACTAAATCACAGGGTCAATTTTTTGAAATTGAGATTTGTACATCATCTGCAAGCTGAATTAATAAGCTTTCCATTGATGTATGGTTTGTTAGGACAGGACAATATTTGGCTGAGATGCAACTATGTTAAAATCTGGAATCTGAGGGTGCAAAAAAAAATCTAAATATTGAGAAAATCATCTTTAAAGTTGTCCACATTAAGTCCTTAGCAATGCATATTACTAATCAAAAATTAAGTTTTGATATATTTACGGTAGGAAATGTACAAACTATCTTCATGGACCATGATCTTTACTTAATATCCTAATGATTTTTGGCATTTAAAATGGATAATTTTGACCCATACAATGTATTGTTGGCTATTGCTACAAATATACCTGCGCTACTTATGACTGATTTTTTTGCTCCAGGGTCACATATATAATAAGCTCAGTAGGCCTACTTTAGAGTTTATTAAATGGGGTTTTCAGTGACCGGCAGTTGATATTCCTAAAACATATGAATAACAGCAAATTGGATGTAGAAAATCAAACGCTAGAGTGGAATGCAATTATTTTACATGGTATGTATCCACTGACAAAGCTGTTGGTAGATATTTGGACTGACACAAGGGGAAATAACACTTAAGTTAAAGAAATACTTTACCCAAAAATGATATTTTACTCAGCCTTCACACGGCGTCCTCACGGGGTTTATAGCAATTTGGATTTTAGCGTGAATTTGGACCAATCAGATTTAACTGTGGGTGGAGCTACTCGGTGCAACGCCGCAGAATTTGATAACAGTAATGTCCTGTTGCTTTCCTCAGATGTTTAGGACAACTCAAGAAGGAAGTGATAAGAGTTGTTATTGCTTTATCACTTCTGGTTTGGATGTAATCTGCTGTTTATCTTTCTGTGAAACACAAAAGTGGAAGTCTACTCTGTCTGTTTTCTGTAAGCGACACCTACTGTCACAAAATGAGTTTGCATTTTCATTTAGCCCGTTTGCTGTTTTTCTGCATTGGTAAGGGCATGCATGCTGCTATGCTTTTTCTTTCTTTCTGAGAAACACAAAAGGAGACTTTTTTGAACAATCTTAGTCCTCACTCTGCCATGCTCCAAAAGGACAATATAATCACCATAAATGTTCACAGTGTTCACAGAAGTTTTTTTTTTTTTGCTGAAATTTAAGTTGTAATTGACTGAAAATTTTCCACTCCGTCTGAGCCCTTAATTCTTTCAGATTTTAAAATGCTGTTGAACAATTTGTTTGCCTTCCAGAAATATCAGTCTGTCATGAAATAAATGTGATTTGAAGGTGTGAGGAAATGCAGTGCGGTTTTGGGATTTTTGCATTTCGTCATTAACAATATTCTCAAAAAAAACCTTGATTCATAGAGGAATTAATCATTGCCAGCGCAATGGGAATGATCTTGATCAGTAAGTTATTGAAGAAAGGAGGCCGTATAAAGCCCGTGTCTCATGCTCCTGTGGGTTTAACGTCATCTCAGGTTATAGGCCTGCAGAGCTCTGCTTATGTAAAGGATTCCTGCACTTGTGTTGAAATCCTCCAGTGATGCAGCGAGACACTCAGGATCAGGTCTGCGGCCTGTGGGAGGATCTTTATGACTCGCTGATAATGGTCACAAAGGGGCTGTTGACTCCATCATGTAATTACAGGCTGTGATTAATGAAAAGCACAGAAATGCTCCGAGGTCGTCTGGGTGGCGTGGGTCATTAATGCAAGTAATTTATTCTGAATCAGTGGAGAAAACATTTAGAGACTGCTGTCATTGGCTCTGTACATCTCACCATGTCAGCATTGCTATCGCAATTCAATTAAAAGAGTTTGTGTAATTGCCGATCGTGGTTTTTAGTGAAGGATTCTTACGCTTTCACATTTTTCCCTCCTCAGTTTTGAATATTTAAATTTAATAACTTTTGCATAACCACTGAACATGTTTTACTCTGCGTACGTACACGGTAACTTCCTGTAGTATGTGAACAAATCTGGGAATTTTAAAAATGTAAATGATGATATTGCAGTTTCGTAGTTTTATATATATATGTGTGTATATATATATATATATATATATATATATATATATATATATATATATATATATATACACGTTGTCAAAAAAAATAAATAAAAAAACTCCTGTCACTTACAATATCAGCATTTCATTTAAAGTGCTGGTTCACCCCTAAAAAATTTATAATTTTGTCATAATTTACCCTCTCCTCATATTGTTCCTATGACTTTGTTCCTATATGAAGTCTATATGACTTTCTTTTTTGTGGAGTACAAAAGAAGATATTTTGAGAAATGCCTCTTTTTTTCCCCTATACTTTTCCTATACTACAATGGAAGTCAATGGGCACCAGTGTTCTTTGGCTAATGTTCTTCAAAATATCTTGGTGTTCCATAGGGCTGTCAAACTGACTGAAAAACTAAATTCGAATTTTCTACTTAAATATCACAATTTTAATTATATTCTAATTTAAAAGGCACCATTTCAGTTAGGGGGGAAAAGCTTTTGGCTTCTCTCCTGAAAAGAAAGATATTATGAAGAAGATATTATGCATGTTTCTTCAAAGCATAATAAAATAACACGACTATCTTTGAAAAAAATGCATAATGTTTAAAATAATGTTTGTAAACCATATAATTAATAAAGGTGCTGAAACAATTTGTAAAAAAAAAAAAACAGCCCCATGCATGTATGTATAGTTTAATACAAAGGACCGAAAACCAATCACAAAAGTAGGCTACTTTTTTCATTTAAAAACATGAGATACAGTGGGATGGGGAAAACCGCCATAAAGTCTTTAGACATGTTTTTTAAAAGTTGAACTTACATTAATTTTACATGGCGCTCTCTTGTGCGAGACGCGAGTGCAACGGTGATAGATGTCCCTCTAGAAAATGCGATAAATATGCATTCTGTGTGAACGGCTTGGTTTCGGTTTTGACGTAAACAGCATCTTCTCCACACTGATGCTGTCGTTTTCCGCAGTATATGAATGAACAACGCAGCAGCGCAGCTTCTAGTGGGTTCAACTGGATAGGCTAACAAAAGCATTCAAATGCAATGACACTTACATCGTCGTCGCATTTTGTGCGCCACTGATAAGGCTGCCTGACAGCTGACGCAGACCTAAAATTTGAATGCAAAAACGTTGAGGTTTTCTTTTTTTTACAATTCGACGAATATTCGAAATTCGTATTTTGATTTTTCCACAGAAGAAGAAAAGTCACACAGGTTTGGAACGACACAAGGGTGAGTAAATGATGACAGAATTTCCATTTCTCAGCGAATTATTTATTTAAATACGTTATAGGTGTTGCAGACTCCCGAGTTTGCATGCAGTGAGCTCATCATATGAGTTCTATAAACCTAAAGAAGAAGAGTTTGAGATATTGATTCGGTTTTATTGCTCAGTTTGCATTCACTCTTGTCTGTTTTCATTGGGCTTGAAGTCGCAGACGGGCTGATATGTGGATAAGAGGAAGGAGTGTTGTAAAGCACTGTTTGCTGCAGTGTGTCCTGGCAGAGGTCAAAGGGTTTTGGATATCAGCGCACTCCTCTCTGTTATAATCAATGCAGCTGTCAAACTGTAAGACGTCCTCACCCCCTCCTACACAGCTGCCTTACTGTCTGTGTGTGAACTGGAGAACCTGAACAGTGGCACAGGCAGTCCAAGTGGTCCCAGTAATTGAAGAACAGGGCTGCAAGGAGTAGTTATTTTGGTAATTAGCCAGTATTATTTGAATTGCTTGAACAATTACTTGACTTTTTGGTCAGTTAATGCAATAATTTATAATCCGCTATTCTCAACTCTGGCCCTTGAGGTCAACTTTCCTGCAGAGTTTAGCTCCAACCCTGATCAAACACACTTGAACAAGCTAATCGAGCTCTTCAGGATCACTAAAAAGTTTTGGGCGGATGAGTTTGATCAAGGTTCGAGCTGAACTCTGCAGGTCAGTGGGCCTCGAGGACTCGAGTTGAGAATCACTAGGTAAAGCTAATTTGTAAATTGTTAAAGGGATAGTTCACCCCAAAATGAAAATTCTGTCATTAATTACTCGCCCTCACGTCGTTCCAAACCAGTAAGACCTTCGTTCATCTTCAGAACACAAATTAAGATATTTTTGTTGGAATCCGAGAGCTCTCTGAGCCTCACATAGACAGCAACACAACTGAAATGTTCCCAGGTCCAGAAACGTAGTAAAAAAGTATTCTCGTAGCTTTGCAAAACTGAGGTGGAGCCACTGATGTCACATGGACTGTTTTACCGATGTCCTTATTACGTTTCTGGACCTGGGAACATTTCAGTTGCATTGCTGTCTATGGGAGGATCAGAGAGCTCTTGGATTCCATCAAAAATATCTTAAATTGTGTTCCGAAGATGAACGAAGGATTAATGACCGAATTTTCATTTTGGGGTGAACTATCCCTTTAAAGTGGGCACAGATAATCGCCAGATCGTCAGATAAAAGTCAGTGCCGATAATCTCTTCTTATCGACTTTTATTGTTTGTTTAAGAACGAATCAAAAGCCAGTGGTGTGACCTTTGCTTTTAGGTCGCAGGCCATGGAT